GTGTGGGTGGGCTTACGATATACACCAGTTTCCTACGTTATCAGTTGTAGTGGTTCTGTCAGATCAACTAGTATTAGTAATGTTTGCTGCTGTCCGGAGATGTTATGGGAATATCCAAAAAAAAAACACCAACAGCAAACAGCAACTGATAAAACACATTCCTGAAAACTTCTGTCCTTTGTCCTGAGATGTGTGGTCCCTGCTAGATTCTACTTCCTGTTTGTTACATCCATGTGTAACATCAGCGTCTGATGGAATCACGCTGTGTGTAGCCTGGTTGCTTCACACTGATCCAGCAGATGGAAACGCACCTGATTCACCTTTTTTTTCTTTATTGCAACATTTTAAAAATTAGCTGATATTCTCATTAGCATTGGATGGAATCATGGCTGTAGAAGCGATAAAGTCCTCATGTTTTCCCTCCTTCAGTTTTTATTACCTGTAGCTTTAATAAGAGGCTCAGACTGAAGTCAGCTGAGGATCTCAGCACCTTACCCATCAGTTTAGCTTTCATTTTCTTGTTGTGTATTCTGCCTCGGTGTGTCTCAGCTGCTCTCTTATTCTCTTTTAAGCCTCGCTTGTTCACTTTCATTTCATCTGCGCTCGTCGCCCTCGTTTCTGGTCCCGCGTTTGGTGTTATTTGTTTGGGAATCCTGTTTGAAAGTCTTTCCTCTACACTTGTTTGGTGTTATCCTTGGAGATGAAAAGCGACGTGCTCGTCTTGTCAAAGCGCCCTTTCAAAGCCGACAACAGTGCGRCTAAATTGGCGAACATGTTGCAGCTGCCAAATGGTTTTAATCTGATGCTTTTTTTCCCTGCAACCGAGCGGTGTCTTTATTCAGCTCCCCTGCAGACCTCTGCTGTCCACCCAGCTTACAGTCTCTGCATTATGTATCGATGAGCTGTGCCTTAAGCGCTCGGCCTTGGCCTGCTCCTGAGCTTCACTCTCATCGCCCCGAAAACCCACCAGCAGAGAGCGAGTGTGAGATTTCTGTGTAGTTGGTAATGATGCAAGGATAACGTTACGTTTAAAGGCTGTTACAGCACATTCAGTATTCCTCAATAATGTCAGAAAAATCAGTGGATAGTCTGATAACTGTATTAAATCTAAGAAAAAGGTTGTTTCCACGTTGATGTTTCACCTTCTTTAAAGTAATTAATTACATCTCCGAGCTCACTCGTCATGCATGGGTGGCTGTTTTGCTCTGAGAAGAATAGAAAGTGTGTGGTTGCTATTTTTACACCCTAACCAGTTCTTTGTGTGCGGACGGGTTGGCATGAGTCGCCTGGA